AGGGAGACCCGTCAGACTGTGGCAACTACCACAGGATATCGCTGCTGTCTGTAGCTGGCAAGATTAGCGCTCGAGTCCTCCGAAACAGACTTCTCCCTAAGGCGGAATACATCCTCCCAGAATCTCAATGTGGCTTTAAACCATCACGTGGCACCACTGACATGATATTTGCTGCCCGCCAAATACAGAAAAAGTGCAGAGAATAGCGTCGTGTCCTGTACATGACCTTCATCGACCTCACCAAGGCCTTCGAATCGGTCAACAGAAAAGCTCTCTGGCGCACCCTCAGACATTTTGGCTGCCCACCAAAATTCATTGCCATTGTAAGGTAACTCCACGATGGCATGAACGGCAGTGTCCTGCACAATGGCACCCAGTTTGAGTTATTTCCCATCCAAACGGGGGTAAAACAAGGATGTGTACTGGCACCAGCTCTTTTTTCCATTTTCTTAGCTGCCTTCCTTACTCGTGTCAGTGCCAATTTAGTCGGCGGGGTGGACATCGAGTACCAGATGAAGGATCTTTTCAGCATAAGAAGACTCCAGACAGGAACAAAGGTGTCGGCAGTTTCTATTACTCAACTTAAGTATGCAGACGCAGATGCGTATGCACACGTCGGACTTGAGATGAATGTATGTAAGACTCAACATTCTCTTTCAGCCTGCCCCTGATTCAGCCACACCTCGACCATCCATCCAGCTTAACGGTACTACCCTCTCTAATGTTACCAACTTTCAGTATCTCGGCTCCCACCTGTCCACCACTACGGACATCGATGAAGAGATTCAACATCGGATCACATGTGCATCTCATGCTTTTGGCAGACTCCATACCCGTGTTTTCAGCTGTAGGGAGCTGAAATTATCTACAAAGTTGCACTTATATCGAGTAGTAGTCCTCAAGGCACTTGAAAACTTTCACAACGTAGTCTGCGTTCCATCCTCCGAGTTCGCTGGGAAGACAAGAGAACAAATGCCAGTATTCTCGCTGACACTAACTGTAGGAGCATTATCCATGAACAACTACTTTGGACTGGCCAAGTGGCCATGTTACCTGCATGGACGACAGTAGCTTGCCAAAGCAGCTATTTTACATTTACATAACGAATTGTAAACGTAACGTTGGCAGGCAACTGAATAGGTATAAGGATAGTCTTAAGACAAACCTGAAAAGTGCCAAATCGACCCCCGCACCTGGGAGATGATTACTCACATCGTAACGCTTGGCGAAGCATTGCACGAGAAGATTTCAATACTTTCGAATTAGCTCGACTGCAAACCGAGGCAGACAAGCGCCAACGCCGGAAAGTCCCTTCTGCACTAGAGGGAGCCATCCACATGTGCAACTTCTGTGATCGACCCTGCCGGTCTCGTATCGGCCTCTTCAGTCACCTCAAAACTCACCAACCTGGATGACATCCTTAATAACTCATATCATTGTATCATAGCTGGATGATCGTCATACTCGATTCCGAGTGACAGCAAAGTAGTAGTAGTAGTGTGTGTGTGTGTGTGTCAAAGACAAAGATTATTGGTATATCTATAACTAAAACACTTCAATACTATAAATTTTGCATCATTTAAATCTCTATCATATTAATATTTCCACGAATTCATTGTAAATAGTTTTGTAAATAATAATAAATTATATCGACAGCTCGTAATTATGTCAGTGTAGTCCAGTCAGTGTATAGGTTCCCGTGGGTGTATTATTTTATCGGATTATTTTTATGACAGGAATCATTATAGACCTCTTGTGGTGAAAGTGAGGTGAAAAATTTTGTTTTCAATCCCGTAGTTTGGCAGCCATCTTTGAAAGTATCAGCAAGAATGATACAACGTAAAAATTAACTATCCCATTAATATTAGTTCAGTTGACCTGATATTTTTATTAATTTATATCTCGGCAAAACTAACTAAGACATTTCATTGGGAGGAGTTTTTTGTCGCAAATATTTTTGGGTAATTCTAATTTTCCTCTTTCGGGTAATATTTGTAATTTATCATTATATGGTAAATATTAACGATTTGACACAAAGTGATAATTTATGGGCAGGGAGAAGGTACAGTAATAAATGTTTATTCATGGAGGAATGGTAAATACCTTGATGAATTCCTCAACAGTTGTAAACACGGTCTGTCAGTATCAACTAGCTACGACTTTTGTTCATCTGTGACTGGCAGATGTTGACATGGACTAAAGATGAAAAGATCCACATGTCTAGAATATATTTATCGTGCAGTGACAAGAGTTAGAGTAAACTACTGTACTTACAAATCAGGTGATGGAAATGACTATGACCGACATTTTCCGAAATAGCGGCCAAACGACGGGATAAGAAAATCCTCCTAAACTCAAATTCATTATAAGGTCTATATAATGAATTTCAGTTATACAAGAATCCACTTAACAAAACTCACGAGTCACTATATTCTGACTGGTCTTGTATGTGTTGTTTCTCTTTGTGATATTATTAGAAAGTCACTCATTACACGTATAAAATATTATGTTTTTTTTGTAAATAATATTAAAACTTAAAGTACAGGAATGATCACGACCCCGCGGAAAAGAGGAATTTTATGTTAAGATAGAAGATGCTGTGTCACGGTCTTTTCAAGTGGGCAATAGACGCTGTCTTATTAAGACAGCGTCTATTGCCCACTTGTCTTAGTCTACTTCATGATGAAAGACGATCTAAGCCTCAGGCTCTCACGTCCAATAAGTGTAACCCGGGTGACGATATGACACCTTGACGCTATCATTTGATAAACTGAAAAGTACGGTAGATATCTTTAACGGGTTGGCGGAGCTGTAAAGTTCATCAGATTACCAACTACCCACTAGCCATCAGTTACGTTCACATCACCAATGTTTTCTAAGCCATTTATTTACTGAAAGATGTGGTGAAAAAGCTGACAGGTTTTCTTAATGATATATTCCCACCCCTAGAGGACACTAACCCACTAAGGAGTTTAGGGGGGGGGGGAGTTCCTCGATGCGATAAGTGACAGAAGAGTGAAGTTGGCGTTAGTTAAGAACAACACAACCGTGGGTTTAGCAGAGAGGAAATACACTGATGTATTTTTTATTTTAATTTATTGATATACACGAATAACAACTTGTGTATTCTACAAATGAAAAAGACAACATCGTCACCCGTCGTTTAGGGTAACTTACTGCCACCCTAAACGTTGTCATCATTAGTGCTCCCTGATGACTCTCTGTTAATTTGTTAGATGGTCTGTGTTCATGGGACTTTTTCTAAATAGGAAATTTATGGAGATAGATGATCACAGAAGGCATAACTTTAGGGAAATGTACAAAAAGATTAAACAAGGGAAGTAGAAGAAAAATATATAAATGTAGTGGGACTATTAAAATCAAAGACAAGAAGATCCTGTCTGAAGCAGAAATAAAACAAAGATGGGGAGAGTAGAGGTAAGAAACAAGAAGGAAATGAGGATCAAACTACCAATTCTGGAAACAGAAGTTGAGGCAGCTGTGAGCAGTATAAAGTGATAAAGTTTGTGGTGTTGATCAGCTTCCAGTAGGACTAAAAAAAAAAAATGCGCGCAAGAATGGGATAAAATGTTTTACTAAAATATGTAATTTATACGTCAAAGGAAACCTTCCCAGTGATTTCAAAAATCAATATTTGTATTATTACCTAAAAAGTCAGTAGCCTTAGAGTGCATCCAGCTTAGAACAATAAGCTTAAGTCATGCCTGCAAAGTTTTATTAAACATAATTTTAATTAGAATAAAATTTACAATAGAAAGTGAGTTATGAAAAAGGATTTGGAAAGGGAAAAAACTTGAGAAGCTATGTTTGACTTGGGAATTTTGAGTGAAAGGGTTTTTAGTGGTCCAAAGAAATTTTAATATCGGCATTGTTGATTTCAAAAAAGCTTTTGATGTGATAAGACACAAAAAAATTACAAATGTCTTGGAAAAAAGGCCATTAAAGATCTTAGAATTCTAAACAAAAAGAAAAACTTTGCTGGCAACAGGTTGTTGTTATTATAATGTTATTACTGCTTTTCGGCAAATAAGGTCTTTAAACGCGTAACAAGGTTATTAATTACAGTATTTTATCAACAATAAAAAATTATGAGCGATAAAACTGTTTGAGGCAACAGGTAGTCTCGGTAGATAATGGACTTACTTATTGGTTCACAGTTAGACAGGGAGTAATACAAGGCTGTGTTTTGTCTCCGACATTGTATAATATATATTCAGAAGTCTTAATGAGAGAAGTAAAAGTAACAATGAAGGAATAAAAGTTAATGGTAAAGTAATATTCAATATACTCTATACAGATGATACTGCTCTTATCACGAATAGTGAAGAGGCGTTACAAGAACTCGTTAACATATTACTGGAAAAATGTGAAAAATATGGTTTAAGATTCTTTGCTGTAAAAACGAAAGTAATGGTTGTTTCAAAACTGGAAATAAATCCTAAAATAAAAAGTATGGTAAGCAACAGGCAACTTATATGGAAAAAAAAAATTTGGGAAGTAACATTAACTGTGCTGGTAGATGTACGTATGGAATTAGAACAAACAAAACCAGTATTTGATAATCTGAAGAAAAAAACTAATAAAATGTGACCTGAACTTAAATTTGAGAAAAAGGCTGCTGAAAGGTTACATATGTTCAGGACTGTTGTAATGGTCAGAAGCGTGGACACTTTCAATAGACACCAGAAAAAGGCTGGAGGCCTTTGAAATGTGGTGTTATAGGCGAATGTTAAAAATAATTTGCACTGGCAGGAAAACAAATACACAAGTACTAAAATTTTCAAAAATTTCAGAGATAAAAATTGACATGTACAGAAAATTAGGCACTTTGGTCATAAAATTAAGAATGAGGGATAATATCAGAAGTATTAATGGGTATAGTTGAGGGTAGGAGGGCCAGGGGAAGGCAGAGACTGGGGTGGATAATTAAATTAAAATATGGGTCCCCATAGAGATGCAAAACCTTGGAGGATTGGTAAAAACAGCCCGAAACGTTTAGAGTGGAGGACTGTGGTCGCCAACCCTCAGATATGATGACGGTACTCTGATTGATATTAAGTATACATACTATAGCCAGTTTGCCTGGAGTGCAAAAACAGTAGAGGGTGGTTTTTATTAATATGGAGTAAATGTTCGTGTTTATAATAAATTATATCGGCGAACTGAAGAATACCATTTCGGAATGAATGTATTAAAATCAAGGGGGAAGAACTGAGAAACATCCAGGGGAATTTTCAATACAAGAATTGATATTTGCATATTGGATTATTTTATGTAATTTGAACGCTTCATAAATTAAAGGTAAATGGTGAATTACTTGAGTCTTTTCGCCTTTTGGCTTATTTTTCTTTTGCTTCTCATTTTACACCTTTTGTTCACCCAATGTGTGTTTATCAACTGTCAGCTGTATCTGAAATTTCTTTAAAAGAAATAGATCAGGGAAGAATAAGATTTAATTTCATCAGGACTCGCCTGGCGGCGTTTGAGATAGCCTGACGGTGGCGCCACATGGTAGTGTCACGCGTTAGGTAGGGCCGGAAGTCCGTCTCACACTCTACCTGACTCTCCCCTTGACACTTGGACCTGTAGTGGGCTAGGTGGGCCTCGTGACCCGGGTATAGGTGGTATAGATCGTGGATTCGATCCACCGGTCCGGCCAGGTTAACTAAAGCGAAGTGGGCGTGGAGGCCGAGGGCGTAGGAGGTGTCGTGAATGGACTTCGTGAAGACGGCAGGGGGTGTCAGCCTGACGGTGCGGGTCACATGACGTAAGGAGTACAGGTATTCCGGCAGGTCGTTCGTTGGTTGTTCAGTCAGGTCGTCGAAGTAATATGAACAGCGGGCCAGATAGGAGGTAGGATGCAGGCCGAGGGACTCCGCCCTGGCCTTCGCGGCGTCCATCATGGCTGGGAGAGACGGATGGGTCGCCGGCAGCATGAATTCGTCCACATCCCAGACAGCCACGTACTTGTGCGTGGCAATGTGTCGCAGCAGACAGTCCGTGTAGGGTACGTTCTCGTTGGAAAAGAGGTTGAACCTGTAACGAGAACAAGGCGAATTAACGGGAACTGGATGAAGCACTAAGAAGAACAAGGTTAACCAATGACAAAAACAAAGTGAATCCCTGACGAGAAAAAAAGGTGAACCATTAACGAGAATGTAACGACCAACGAAATTGGGACATTGGCCCAACAACAACAAAACTCGTTCCTGTTAATTTTTTCTCAACTATGCTATAAATAAAATAATGACTGTCTCTTTTAATGTATGTTTGTTTGTTCGTTATGTAAGAGCTGAAATTTGGCAGAACGATGCACTTTCACCCTAGAAGTGTCCCAACGATAGAATTTTAGGAAATTGGGGTCCCATCCCTTCTTAAAAACACTAAATGTAGTGAAGATTATAGAGTAGTGAATGTAGTGTAGATGATAGTTTAGTTGATTTAGTGTTGAATAGGTGATAGTGTAGTGGATGTACTGTAGTAGGGTGTGTCATAGGAGGGAAGATCAGCTAAAACTAATGGCCCATCTTTTTTTTGGTAGATTTTAGTGTATATAAACAGAAAATAATTTCAGTTTCAATATTTTGCAACCTTTTGCTAGGTAAATTTTAGCGTGAAATTTATCGAAAATCTAACGTATAGCTGCATTAGTGCATTACAATTAAATAGCGAACATTGTTTTCTGACTTCATTCTTTAACAACCCAACTAACAATATTTTTTTCTGTTTCAGATTCTGATGCATTTATAAGTTGATAATATTTGCGATGACTGCTTGTGTCAGGACGAGGAACCAAAAATCCAGCCATCTCAGTCACTATCTTGGGTCTGGGAGAGAGCTCCTGAAGTCGGAGTTGCCTACATTGAGAGATGCTTTGAGATACGGTGTTTTAATCAGGCAAATCAGTGAAAAGAACCAAAGAACTTACACAAACAAAGACATTGCCAGTGATATGACCAAAGCTGTCTTGGCACAGTACACTCTGGCTAACGCTCAGTTCAAAGCCTCCAGTCATAACAAGTCAGAAGAAGATTAGTGAGAGACTGCTAGCCAGTTGGGAAAAGGCAAGGAGATATCTCTCATCTTGGGGAGAGGAAAACTTGCAGTTAAGGACAGCTTTGCCAAGCAACTGGACCAGTTATTTGACATAATTACTTGCAAGTGCCCAATTGTTCTCTGTCCTGAGTTTTGGATGCGATCGTGACTGTAAATCCGAGGCCCACATCTCCTGTATTTGCAAGCGTGAACTGAAGATTCCTGTGATCGAACTGCATTTGTCAAAGCACAGAGAGAAGACTGGCAGTATAGGGGCTCTCATGATTTCTAGCCAAGATATTCCGGAGTCCAAGAGACAGGAGGCTGCCACAGAGAGACAGAGAGAGAAGAGTTGCCGAGGAAAAGACTTGAGAAGGCCCAGGGTGAGGTAAAAAAGGCCGATGATTGGAGTCAAGCTGATTCAGAGTTTAATGACTTCCCCATGGCTGATCCGAGTGCTGACCAGGAGAATGGTGACTTTGTCCCTAACCAGAAAATAATGATCCCAAACCTTCCAGGCATAAGATTCGAAATAGGAAAGATATCCCGAGCATAGCTCTGGCCAGCATGCGGCACCACACTGGTCTCAGAGAAACTGCAGAGATAGCAACAGCTGCCTGGGTTGACGGTGGTTTGATAACACCTGATGATGTTCACCTGGTGATAGATCATAACAAAGTAAGGAGAGCTCAGGAGAAACTTGTCAGTAACCTAGAAGAGGAGTTTGATAAGGGGATAGAGAAAATGGAATCAATTGTTTGTTCTTTGATGGGAGAAGGGATGACACTAAAGTGTTCATGAAAGTTGGAGATTCTGACAAGTTGTTCCCTGCCATGGTGAAGGAGGAACACTACTCCTGCTGCAGTGAACCAGGAGGGAAGTATTTGTGGCATTTCACTCCAGAGAAAGATGACATCAGGGAAACCAGCTGAGATAGTGGCAGATAACATTGTGAACTGGCTCAGAGAGGAACGTAGGGCAGACCCTGCAGGCCATTGGAGGGGACAGCACCAACACGAACACAGGGTGGCAAGGGGGGGTCATACAGTGGATAGAGCGGAAGATTGGGAGGAAGCTGGTCTGGATTGTTTGTGACCTCCACACCAACGAGTTGCCACTCAGACATCTGATCCAGGAGCTGGATGGCAAGACTCTTTCAAACAACAGATGGTCTGGTCCTCTTGGCAAGATGCTGGACTCTGCCACTGAGTTAGAAATAAATCCGAGCTTTGAAAAAATCACAGTTGGCCCTCCACTCGTTGAGCTTGCACATACTGTCATTGACGACCTGAGTACTGACCAGTACAATGGTTACATGATTTGCAGTGCCATCAAAACTGGGGTCATGCCTGATAGACTTGCTTACCTGCAGATAGGTCCAGTCTCACATTCTAGGTGGCTCACAACGGCTCTCAGGTTCTGCAGAATTTGGGTCACTCATCATAAACTGAAAGGGAACCAGCTTCACAACCTGAGACTTATTGTCCAATTCATCGTGAGTGTCTACTTGCCAAATTGGTTCAACACCAATGTCAAGTCATCGTTCTCCGAAGGTCCGAGGCATGTTCTCTTCCAGCTTGAGCTCCTGAGGAGTCAGCCAAGGAAGGTTGTTCAGATTGTGGAGCAGACTGTGAGGAGATCTTCCTGGTATGCTCATCCCGAGGCAGTTCTGCAGACAATGCTCTGCAGTAAGGATGAGAAGGGAGAAGTGGCAGTCAAAAAGATCTTGGATATGAGACTTATGAGAGGATCTGGGCATGACGAATCAGTTGGTGACGATTCCTTCAGGGTCAAGAAGACTCCTGAAGTCAATCTAGGTGCCAAGACCCTCACTGATCTCATAGATCTGGATAACATCCAGACTGGCAGTGAGCCCCCTCTTACCTGCAGCCTCACCAATGTTCAAGTCAGAGCTTTCCTGGACAACCCCATGCATGTCCCTGCCTGGCCCTCGCACACCCAGAGTATAGAGCGTTGTGTACAGCAAGTGAGCGAGGCCAGCAGTCACGTGTACAGCCAGGAGAGGAGGGAAGGCTACATCTGAGCTCAGGTGGTCAGCAGGGAGGTGATGAGTAGAAACAGAAGCAAGAAAGACATGTTCTCTATGGTGTGCAGCAACACCGGGTCGTAGTAGTAAAACCGGTTTTTGTATTTGATGATTTTGTTTTCTAAAGGAATATTAAATTTAATAAATGTGTCAAGATCATTCGTTTCACTATTCTGGATCATTTTCATCCTAATAAATTAACCTGATACATTTACTTTACTTTAAATAAGCTATTTAGTGGTGTTGGTAAAAGGGTGGGAATACTGAATTTTCATAAGATTTCAAGTTAAAATTTACCTAGGAAAAAATGAAAACTTTTCAAATCTGAAGATATCACATGATTCTGCACATAGAACTACATCATTAATACCATGGGCCGATTTTTCAAACTAAAAAAAAAAAAATTCGCCTCCGTATGACACACCCTAGTACTGTAGTGTAGATGATAGTGTGGTCACGGTCATATTATTTAATTAATTTATTACACTGCAAGGGGCGACAAGCCTAGTCACAAGACCATGCGGTCAGACACTAATACAGTGGTACTCGTGTTTCGCAGGACAAGCTATGACTTGTGATATGGAGACATTGACTACCCACCACCAAAGTGTGGGAAGTGTATAAGAGTTATATCTAGATTATTATGTATAAGTAGGTGGTGACATATAGTGGTTAGTGACTCTTCCTATGGTAGGAGGTCCCTGACATTGGGACATTCAAGGCAATAGTGTTGAAGGATGTTAGCGTTGGGACAGTTACAGAGTTTACAGGAAGAGAAGTACGGGTTATTCCCCGCCTCAGTTACTTGCCGCTCACTGCTCCTTATGTGACTCTCTCTCTCACCTCTGGGTATCATAGAGGGTGCGGTACAGGTGAGGTATTGAGGGCTGTGACCCAGGGCTGGTCCAAGGCATCACCTTCAGGTATCCCTCTTTCTGATAGTACCGCAGGACCTTGGTCACGTTGGGGTGGGCCGCTCCCTCGTACACCATCACCTCGTCCACGCCCCAAGCTCGAGCCACCTCCACCCACTCCACCAGCCTGTAAATGAACATGATGAACACCCTACTGAATATTTGATACTGATATGAACACCGAGGACAACCAATTAAAAGATGATACTCGAGTAACTAGACTGATGAACGCTTGTAAACAAGATGTTCACAAAATCGTACTGATTTTGTGAACATCGTGAGCACGTCAGTAAACTTGGTTATAATATTTCATTGGACTGCTGAACATATGTAATGCTTAAGTGAACGAATGCCGCCTAGAACACCCACCTCTTGGAGAAGTCCCTGGCAGGGTTAAAGATGAACTTGTGGCAGAGTGCGAGGCCCTTTTTGGTGTAGGGGGCAGAGAACCCCTGGTTTAGTACCCTTAGGGCGTTGGTAGCGGGTTCGCAGGCGTAGGCAACCAAAGACACCACCCTGGGAATGCCCCTGAGGTTACGCCCCGCCCGGCACGTCACCAAGAAGGGCATCCACTGGCCCTCTACTCGCTCCTGCCACTGCACGTAATCTGCCGAAGGAGTTGATGGTAGCCGCCACACATAGAATTTAGATGAAAGTGGATGTAGATGAAAGTGGATGATGTACCGATGTATGAAACAACCAGACACGGATGAAAGTGGACAGTTGATAATGGGGGTAATGAAACAGAGGGTGGATTAATGTGTGTGTGTAATAATAAATAATAATAATAATAATTAACGGTTTATTGAAAAAGTTCTGCAGCCCGAAGGCTTAAAATATACATTGGACAAATATGACTTATTACATACAAAGACATGGGGTAGGTCGGTCGGTCGTTTAACAAAAGCTTTCATTTCTGAAAGAAGAAGGAACAATGATTGAACATACAAATTATTATAGTTTACAGTTGATGTGTGTGTGTGTGTGTGTGTGTGTGTGTGTGTGACCATTCACACCACTTGTATAATTACTGGCGCGAGGTCAGTACACCCCAATGCGATGACCGGGAAGTGTCGACATTACCGGTACACCCCACTTACACCCTCCTACATCACCTACACATGCCCCTTATACCCCGAGAATTCTTCACCCCTTACACCCTTCTACACACCCCCTACACTCTCCTTCACACCCTCCTACACCCTCCAACACACACACACATACACTACTCCTACTACTACCTACTACTTTGCTGTCACTCGGAATCGAGTATGGCGATCATCCAGCAATAATACAATGATATGAGTTATGAAGGATCTCACCTATGTTGATGAGCTCTGAGGTGACTCAAGAGGCCTATATGGGACCGATAGGACTGTCCACCGATGTTGCATGTTGCACGTGTAGAGGGCTATATCTAGTGGGGGGCGGCAGCGTCTTTCCAGCACTGGCGCTTGTCTGCCTCGGTGTGCAGTCGGGCTAACTCGAAAGTATTGACACCCTCTCGTGTGGTGCTCCTCCAAGCTTCATGGTGTGGAGTGATCGTCTCCCAGATGAGTAGGTCGATTTGGCACTTTTTCATGTTTGTCTTAGACTATTCTTATACCTTTTCCGTTGTCCACCAGCGTTACGTTTACCATTCGTTATATGACTGTAAAGTAGCTGCTTTGGCAGTCTACTGTCGTACCTGCGCGTAACATGGCCAGTCCAACGTAGTTGCTCATGGATAATGGTAACCCCGATGCTCCTACAGTTGGTGTCAGCGAGAATACTGGTATTTGTTCTCTTGTCTTCCCAATCGAACTGGAGGTGCTTCCTGAATGTGACCCTTGTCTCACTGCTATACTACAGCTTTGTAGATAATTTCAGCTTCCTACAGCTGAAGACACAGGGTTGAGATGCGCACATGATCCGTTGACCAGTCTCTTCATCGATGTCCGCGGTGGTGGACAGGTGGGAGCCAAGGCACTGGAAGTGGGCAACATTAGAGAAAGTAGTGCTGTTAAGCTGGATGGATGGTGGAGATGTGGTTGAACCAGGGGCAGGCTGAAAGAGAATTTGAATCTTATGTGCATTCACCTCAAGGCGGAAGTGTGTATATTTATCTGCGTAGGTGTTCATGATCTCCTGTAGGTCGCTTTCAGTGTGAGTGACGAGTGTGAGGTTGTCTGCATGCTGAAGTTCAGTGATGGACAAGTACATTATTTCCTCGTCATTTTCATTAAATCATTCCTGGTGTTTTCGGTGTATTCTTTCGATGTGGCCGAGGGTCTCTCTGCAGGTTTTTGTCATGCCAGTGTCGAGAATATCCCATTCGGAACTGGGATTTGCGTTGTTTGTTGTTGGGTTGTTTATCAGCCCATGTTTGCGCTGCTCCCTGAAAGCATGTGCTAGTGCTGGATCCTCCAAACGCTTCGTGTTAAAACCTCTTCTGGAGGCAAGTTGCCTTCACCGTTTTGGGGTGACATGAAGTGAGAACTTGGTTCTGACGAGCCGATGATCAGTGTCACAGTGGTCAGCGCCACGCTTGACTCGGATGATGAGGACATCTTGGCAATCTCTTTCTCTGACAATAGTGTAGTCAATGAGATGCCAGTGTTTGGATCGTGGGTGGTGCCACGAACCCTTGAACTTGTCGGCCTGCCTAAACAAGGTATTGGTGATAGTGAGGTTGTGTGCAGCACACTTGCTGAGGAGGATTACACTTGCCTAGTCCATTTCTCTTTATGATTCCTTTCCAAATGTTAGCATCTCTGCCAACTCAGGCATTGAAGTCACCTAGGAACACAGCCTTATCTTCGCTGGGGATAGAAGTTAACACTCTGTCAAGGTCGGCGTAAAAGGCCTCATTGATGTCATCCTCTGCATCCAGTGTTGGGGGGTATGCACTGATGAAAACGGCATGACATGAGTGACTCAGTGGGACTCTGAGCGTCATGAGGCGCTCGTTGATCCCAACAGGCATTTCAGTTAGCCTATGTAGGATGCATTGGCGGATGGCAAAGCCAACTCCATAAATGCGGTTTCTCTCCACAGCAGTCTTACCCTTCCAGAAGAAGGTATTGCCGGACCCCCGTTCTGTGAGTCGACCTTCGTCTGGGAGCCAGGACTCACTAATGGCTGTTATGTCGATGTTATACCTAGCCAGCTCTTTTGCCACAAGGGCAGTTCTTTCAGGAAGCTCATTTGTGCCAGTATCCAGAAGGGTCCTAACATTGCATGCAGTGACCATAAGAGGTGTTATAGCTTGTTTTTGTTTTGATCTGTTATTATGAGTGTGATTTGACCGTATAAGGATGACCGTACTGGGTGCAGTTGCCCAGTCAGGTTATTTTTTTAAGCAGGCTATGTTAGGGAACCTTTTCTAGCCCCCTCCCCATGCAGGGTGAGCAGAGTGGCTCCTCGAAAGGGCTGTTCAGTCCCACAGACAGGACCGGATTGCAGTGCTGCCTAGATCCTGATGCATAAACGACCATCTAATATACTATAGGCGTGTGTGTGTGTGTGTGTGTGTGTGTGTCTGCTCTGGGCAGCCGAAACGGCACAATCGTTTTTCATCAAACTTGGTGGAAAAATCGCAACAAATTCGTAGAGTGGAACAAACCTGGTCCCATATCGATGGTTCTTTAGTAAGCCATTACATAACCATTTTATTTACGCTGGAAAACGATGCAAGTCTACGGACTTGGCGCACCCTCATTCGCTGTACGCTGTCAGCCCACGATTGCAGTTATCGTACGGCTCCCTCCTCCCCCCCCCCTACTTTTTTTCTTAGCCTACTTTTTTTTTAATGTTGTTTGGATTAGTAAAGGAAGGAAGATGAATAAACAGAAGAATAAATAAAGAAGAGGAAACAAATAGTAGTTAGAGATAACAGGTGGGGGGAGCTGAGTTTCATCATGCATCTGGATGCACAGTTTCAACGTTACCAGACGACCTTACAGCTACAGTGTATACTTATTCCGGTGGCTCATGGAAAAGGAGAAGAGATAAAAAGATAATAACAGGAATGCATGGAGAAGATGACTACAATAGACACAGGGTGAATATAGACAGTGAAACAGACAGGAGGTTGACAAAAATAGACAGATTCATACATGCACAAATAGACAATATGGCAACTAACATGACAGACAGACAGCTGACTGACTGGTTCACATTAGACAAACAGGCAGACACACGCCAACAACGGATAAGACAGACAGATTTGACGATACAAAGAGTACAGACGGGCTTACATTCAAACACCACGCAGATGAACAGACAGTTGGGATGGCAATAGACAGGACGGATAGACTTGAGACAGATTAGAAGGCATTTATAAACAAGAATAACACCAAATTGACCATAGCTGCATCAGTTAGGGTAGGAGGTCTTACATCCACCAGCGTAAATAATAAGACTCAACACCCTCGCGCGGAAAGAACATCGATGGTCGGTCAGTCATGTGAGATGGGCCTAAAACTGACTAACGTATAGTAGATGATGACTATGATGACTTAACACAGGTGATGACTTAAGCAGATGGTGAGTAATCTAACCAGATTCAAGGTCACTTCTCTTCATAATATAATTTATCTCGGAATGATCATCGGTGATTCATAATAATTTTTTTTTATGACTTTAACCTCTCCTTATGGCGAATATTTCTTTAACTAATTATTCTCACCTTTATTCTATTCCTTCTTATAGTATATTAGATACTGTAAGTATCACGACCACGACCATGATTATAACAACCACGACCATGATTATAACAACCAGGACCATGATTATAACAACCACGACCATGATTATAACAACCACGACCATGATTATAACAACCACGACCATGATTATAACAACCCAACCATGATGATAACGGCCACAACCATGAATAAACCACGACCATGATTATAACAACCACGACTATGATTATAACAACCACGACTATGATTATATCACGACCATGATCAACCAAGATTGATTATAACAACCACGACCATGATTATAACAACCAGGACTCCATGATTATACCACGACCATAACCACGACCATGATTATAACAACCACGACCATGATTATAACAACCACGACATGATTATAACAACCACGACCATGATTATAACAACCACGACCATGATTATACCAACCACGACTATGATCATAACCACGACCATGATTATAACAACCACGACCATGATTATAACAACCACGACCATGATCATAACCACGACCATGATTATAACATCCAGGACCATCATTATAACAACCACGACCAGGATTATAACAACCACGACCATGATTATAACAACCACGACCATGATTATAACAACCTCGGTAAACTGTACCACCGTCTCGCCACCGGGCACGAAGTGCCCACGATCACTTGTCTTGTCTTTGCCGCCCATGTGGAGAGTTGTGACTAGGGACTCTTTCATCCGTCGCCATAGGACTTTTGGGAGTTTAGGGGTTTTGATGGTGATGAGAAGATATGATGGCTGCTCGTAAGTTAATTTATATGGTGAGGCAGGAGCGCAAGCTGCAACCACACATCTTGAACTCTCCCTTTTCCTGATATAGTGGTGCAAGTGTTGCAAGACTGAGGAGAGGGAGACTTGCAATGGACTGCTGATAGCCCAGTTTGTTGGGTTTTGCCTAAGTAGCCTGTCCGTTATGCATTGCCTTCGTTCACCGGTGTAGTCGTTGGATTCCCATGGTGGTCACCTCTTCCGCCTATACCGCCGTTGAGGTCTTGTTGGAGTTCTGTAAGTATGTCTACCTGATGTGGGGCTCCACTGCAGGTTTTTCGTTCGAGGTTTACTCCCGTAGCCTCATACCTACCAAGGCTGCGGAGCAGAGGTTGGTTGAATTTCCTTTGTCATTTTTCTGACCACTCCTGTAGTATATTTAAATCCTCCTGTAGTGCATTTGTATGCTGCTCTGAATTATTCTGCTGCACTATTTTGGTGTCATCAGCAAACTTGCTTATGTCACTGCTGATCCCAGTATGTATATCGTTTATGTAGATTATGAACGAGAGTGGGCCCAGTACTGACCCCTGAGAAACCCCACTGGTTACACAGCCCCACTCAGATTTAACACCATCTATGCTGACCCTCTGTGTTCTATCGGTGGGCCATGATTTTATCCAATTTAAAACTTTCCCCTTGATTCCATGAGCCTTAACTTTTCTCAGAAGCCTCTGATGCGGTACTCTGTCAAACGCTTTGCTAAAGTCTAAGTAAATAACATCGTAAATTTCGTCGTTATCTATTAACTCGAAGACTTTCCTAAAAAAACGTCAGCAGATTTGTTAGAGAAGATTTTCCCTTTGTAAACCCATGTTGAGAGTCGTAGATTAATTTGTTTTTGTCTAAATGCGATCGAATGCTATTTGCTATTTAATTGATTCAAGAAATTTCCCCACTACTGACGTCAAACTAATCGGCCGGTAATTTGACGCTGATGCTCTGTCTCCCTTTTTGAATATGGGTACTACATTTGTCTGTTTCCACAAGTCTGGCACAACTCCCGTGTCGAATGATTTTGTAAATAAATTTACGAGGGGTCTGCTAATCTGTTCCTTACACTCTTTCAAAACTCGAGGGAAAATTTAATCCGTCCCTGGGGATTTTGTCTTCTTTGGTTTATTTATCTTCTTAAAAACATCCTTTTTTCTGATAGTGATATCCTTTAATTTCTCTTCTTCATTTCCCAAAAATATCAGTTCCACCTCTGGCATTTCCTCGTGAATTTCTTCTGTGAAAACTGATAAGAAGTAGCTGTTTTATGCTTTGCTTATTCTCTCACTATCATCGATCACTTCCCCTCTCTATGACTTCAAAGGCCCCACTTTGTCCTTGACCTTTGTCCTATACCTGGAAAAATCCCTTGGGATTCGCCTTGGATTCTCTTGCTATCCTGATTTCGTAGTCCCTCTTTGCCTTCCTTATATTTTTATTAACATTCCTAGATAGTTCATTATACCTATTTCTGAGGTGCTCCTCCCCTCCCTTTAATCTATATATATAAAACAAAGAAGTATGTCTGTGTGTTTGTGTGTTTGTGTGTGTGTGTGTGTCTGCACGAGAATCTCGGAAACTACTTTACCGATCTGTAGTGATGATGGATGGTATTATTTGTAGTGATGATGGATGGTGTTGTATGTAGTGATGATGGATGATGTTATATGTGGTGATGATGGATGATGTTATATGTAATGATGATGGATGGTGTTGTATGTAGCGATGATGGATGATGTTATATGTGGTGATGATGGATGATGTTATATGTAGTTTCTTATAAGTTCCTTTCTTTATTCCTATGTCATGTTCAAGTTTTTGGTCATCCACCTTGGCTCATTCTTATTTGACCTAATTTTTCTGTATGGTATATTTTGTTCTTGTGCTTTACGTAGTATACTAGTGAATATATTATAGCCGTGATCAGTTGTTGTGTCGCCGGTGACCTCACCCGTCCCTACCTGGGACTGACCTGACTGTTCCCAGCCGACATCACCTAGGGCAAACGGAGTATTGGGTTTTATACCTAGAAGTGTAAGTGACAAGAGTGCAGGGGTCTTATTGCAACTATATCTTACGCTAGTCAGGCCGCACCTCGATTATGCGGTTCAGTTCTGGTGCCCCTATTATAGAATGGATATAAAATCACTAAAGTCGGTGCAGCGAAGAATGACAAAAATGATTACGGGACTTAGAAACCTTCCATATCAGGATAGGTTAAAGAAACTTAACTTGCATTCCCTAGAAAGACGAAGAGTGCGGGGAGATATGATAGAAGTATTTAAGTGGGTGAAAGGAATCAATAAAGGGGATATAGATAAAGTTCTTATAAGATCCGAGCAGGATAGGACTCGGAGCAACGGATTCAAGTTGGATAAGTTTAGGTTTAGGACGGAGATAGGAAGAAACTGATTCACAAATAGGGTGGTGGACGAGTGGAACAAGCTTAGCAACTTTGTAGTAAGTGCGGGAACTCTGGAAAGTTTCAAAAGGAGGCTAGATAGATTCATGGATGATAGAGAGTGGTAGTAACTCTCGACAGGAGTTGCCATGTACAGGCCAACCGGCCTATTGCAGACTCCTTATTTTCTTATGTTCTTATGTACCTTCTTAACCCCTCATAATCCGCCGATCGAAAGTCTGGGACTCTGACCCTATTGTCATTGTTTTTCGTTTCTCAATTTAAGGTGAACCTGATTTCTCTGTGATCACTGTTCCCTAGTTCTTCCCCTATTGTGATATCTCTGATAATATTTTTTTTATTTGTTAATACTAGGTCTAATATATTGTCACCTCTAGTAGGTTCTGTAATTAGTTGTTTTAAAAAATTGTCCTGTACTGCATCTAGGAAGTCTTCAGAGTTATAGTCACATACAATGTTGTTCCAGTCAATATTTCTGAAGTTGAAAACCCCCATAATGCACAGGTTGTTGTATTTTGCTGCCCTACTCATTTCCTGCCATATGGGCTCAGCTGCTTCTTTCCCAAGACTTGGGGGCCTGTAATTCACTCCCATAATTAGTTTTTCTCTTCCTTCCACAATTTCTACCCATGCAGACTCGGTTCCTATTTCACCCTTTATTGAATTATTAATACAACATTTAAATGTATCCCTGACGAAGAGTGCGACACCTCCCACCTTTCTACCTTCCCTGTCCTTGTGGAAAAGGTTGTACTCGTCTATGTGGTACTCTGATAAAAAGTTCTTGCTCGCCAGATTCATCCAAGTTTCGGTGATTGCTATGACGTCTACATTCTCGGTACATACAACCGCTCTCTGCAAGTCTATTTTATTTCTAACGGTCCTACTGTTTGTATAATATACATTTAAACCTCTCCCTCCCTGGTCCTGTTTTACCCCTTGTCCTAAGTAACCAATTTTACTTCCCAGAACCTGCTTGTTTTTTGACTACCACTTACCGTGACCTCTCTCTACTGGCGACTCCCCCCCCCCCCTTTGAAGTGACAATTTCACGCCCCAGGGATGCAGGCAACGTCTTTACCCCCGCGCGAGACAAGTGTTCTCCGTCACGACTGTACAGGTAGTCGTTGCCAGTTATCAATGAACGCCCAACCATTGCTTGCACATTGTTTTTCCATTCGGCAATTTATAGCAATTTCCCTGGACAGCCATTCATCACCAACTCCTCTTCTATGTAAGACACCACATACTATCGGGATCCCTCCCCTATCGCTAACCTTCCCTAGCGCCTCCCTATACCTCTTGAAAAGTTCCTCACTCCTAACCTTTCCTATGTCGTTACCTCCCACATTAAGACACACTACTGGCTTGGTACCCTCCCTTGACAAAACTCTATCCATCCTCTCAGCTACATGCCCTTTCCCAGCCCCAGGAAAACACACCCTACTCCTACGTTTCCTGTCTCTTGCACAAAAAGTCCTATCTAAGAACCTCACCTGGCTGTCCCCAACTACCATGACCTTACCACTGGGCAGGGTTTGAACAACTGCCCTTTTCTCTCCCGGCACCACACCGTCCTGCCTCTTCTCTTACTCGCCAGCTTCCTCCAACACTTGGTAGGGGTTACTGCACTCCACACCCTGGTCAGCTTTCCTGAATCTGACCCTAGTCCCCTTGGAGACAACCACTCTCCACGCCTGCTCCTCCTGACCCTCCTTCGCAGGTGTCCTGCTAGGCAGGACACCTACCTGAAGGAGTTCAGTCCTGAGGGCTTCGTTCTCCCCCTTTAAAACGTCTATCTCTCTCCTCAACTGCTCCAGCTGACTTAACGGAGTGGCCAGGGGGTCGTCTTTCCTCACACACCGTCCCTCTTCCCCCACAACACAACGATCCACGGCGGCCATTTTCTACGGTCACTAACACGAGCACTTAGGGGCACGTCCTTCTCTTTGTTTCTGAATCATGAATATATACGGCTGTGTGTGTTTGTGTATGTGTGTGGGGGGGGGGGTCCATATTGAAACTAATTTGACCAACCCAATCTAACCTAACTTATATAGTCGTTCACTCACCCATGCGGATGGCCTTGGTGGCGACAGGGACAGGGTCGTCGTGGGCGTACCAGAAGTGACAAGTGGGCGTGGGCGGCCAGGCAGCCTCCACCATTACAAGCACCCGCACCAGAGGCCCTTCTGTAGGAGGGATGAAATAGTATAGGTAGCAGTCTCTCTCTCTCTCACCTTCAACATCTCTGTCGTCGTAGTAAGCGCCGTAGAGGAGGAAAGTGGTGTGAGCGACGGTGGCCTCTTGCCAGTAGAGGTTACTGTGCCTGACGGAGAAGAGGCCGGGTGTGGTGGAGCAGCGATACCCGCGACGCTCCTGACTCACCAGGAACTTCACGGCCAGGGACGGGTGCCACGCCTCGGACGCTTGTAAGGCTGTTCTGTAGGAGTAGAAGGTTGTCTGAAAGCAGGTGGGGGTTGATAATATTGAAGCTCCTGACTCTGACCATTGCACCCGAGGTATGGTCTGATATTGTTCATCCAGGCGTGATGGATGATTGCTTGCCTTGAGTGGTAGAAGCAACCGAATGTTACTTGAGGAATACGTTTTACCAACATACCAACTCCTCCGAGGCCTCCAGACTTCTCCTATTGGAAGTCTGTCAAAATCCGATGATTCCTCTGACAACCATCTTCAATGTTTACAGGGCCATCTGTCCAAAAAAACTTCCGGAAATTTATTTAAAACGTAATCGTATGACCATCGTATATTGGTGGAGAAGCAAGAGTAGCAAGAAGTTACTTTTCTAAAATTCTACGTCCAGCCAATATATATCTAACGTCTTTAAACTTCCGTGTAGGCTTTGGAAATCTGCTAAAATACCACTAACTTGCATTTGACTGTCGCTCCCAAGGGGTCTGGAACAGTCCTGAAGGGTGTAGAGTATACATAAACAGCACCACGTTTTTACCGATACTTTCAAAGCCTTCAGGAGCTGCTCTGTGGGAGTAGCATGAAAGGTTTCTTGAAACACTCTCCTCTGGCTGTCAACTTCTTGGCCCCCCAAAGCACTCATAGACTGTTTCACTAAGTCCCGGTAATATTTCAGGGTGATCCTGGCTCAATTTAGGAGTATGGTATTGCCAAATTTGAGTTATAGTTCGCCTAGCTTAGAGAGATTGTCGTAACAAAAACACGTAACCTAATAAGTGACGATTGGAAGGCTTAGTTGGCTAAATTTGGGTGAATTAAAACCTCAAACTTGCATGATTAGATTGGTTAATCTTATGTGGCTTAACCGATGAGTCTACGTTTTGTGAATGTCACGAGGATTCCTAAAAATCACTAATTGGTGACAAGCCGAATGATAAAATTTCGCAGCAAAATGTTTGAAGGGTAATTGTAATTTTTGAAAAATTTGAAATGGGTCATTTAAGTTTGATAATTGCTTATTAATGTTTCTTGAGGGAGGAACATCCAGCGTGGTCATGAAGATAGACACATTGATCACCTGAATCATGGATATTAAATGGATATATTAATTTACTAATTGGTGTCAGTGTCATGTTTTCTCTCTGCGTTATCTATTGTTCTTTACTTTATGTATTTCAGATTATTATTATGACCATTTAGGTAGTTGCCACACTAAGTACAGTTTGGTACACGGATCAGTAAATCAGTTTAGCAAATGATGGTCTTTGAACTATTTACGACTTTTTAAGGGTGTCAGTAATTATTGTTTATCCTCGCAAAATAAAAACTTAGAGACTTTGCATTGCGCTGAGACGTATTCTGTATGATTTTCACTTTATTTATATGCATGATAATGTGGGGCGTTGGTGGTACAGCAGTAACGCGTGTATCTATCACCAATATCTCAACGGTTCGAGTCTTGCTTGGCCCGGAGACACGTGAGAAGGGTGTTATCCAGTGTAACCCTCATTATCAAACATCACACGTGTCTCGGAGTCCTGTTTCCTCCTGTACTAACACTGGATAAACCAATGATTAGTAAGCTGATAAGTCGTGAAAATTATTATAAAAAAAAAATGTGTCATGCGATCAATTTTAAAACGAGACACTGGAGATACATAGCCTTGTGGTGTACCGTCGGGATTTTTAGAGTGAAAATGGCAATGAAACCATGTTAAAGCAAAAGAAAATTATAAATACTGTTACGACCCTCCTTTACCGCTTATCCAGCTTCCACCACCGATTACCACCGGCCATGGTCGTATTGTAGTGACCTAGGTTGTACGTGTTAGTAAACGGAAAATCAGACGATTCATATTACGCTCAATAGCACACAAAACATGTAGCTATTGCCTTCTTTACTGAGTCCCCCATCTGCGGCGTCTGATTTCTCATCTCTTCAGGACGTCTGAGTCTTTCGTTTTCTCTCAATCTTAGAGTGCATCAGAGACTTCGTTATTCCTTAGTATAACGACACAAAAATTTAAATTGCAACTGCAGTTGTATATGTTAAGGCAAATTAGATATGTCTGATTACAGATGAAACATCAAGAGCCCTTGTTAGTAAAACTTGCCAAGTGAGTGAGTATCGAGTCTGCCAGTACGAGTGGCATGTCCTTATATCGTCCTTGGGGATAGCCATGAGTTTCCAATTGCTACTGAAGTTAGATTATTTTGATGCTCAAACATCAGAAAATCTAATGTTTGTAGTTTACTTAGTGTCAGAAGTGTATTTAAGAAAGTCATTAATCTCCTGAAAAGATTCTGTCAAGCTCAAAATCTCCAAGACCTAACGGCTCCTTGTTTGTGGTTTTGTGGTTTCCAGAAAAGTAGAGTTGTTAGTGTGTGTATTTGACGTCCATTTCACTTTTTCCTGACAGGCTCAATCTCTGATTAGATTATAAAAATAGACATAAAAAATTCACCTGACCCATGACACTGATTTTCATAGTTGAGTGTACAGCGACTGAGTTGAATAGAATTTCTGTCGTTGATGAGATTAGCCTTTCTGGCATGCATGCATAGGCCTGAGCTGCCCTAGGCCCTATGTAAACGAATGCACAAGGAAGACTCACACGCTCGTGACTCTTCCTCAATGCATCTCCAGGTATGTGAACGATTGTTTCCCACCGCCATGTTAAGCCAGTTTAACTCGTCAAATTTTGTGAATATCAGTGTTCATGTTTTAACATAGCGAAATATTCATGTGCCAAGTATAATTAAAGTAAAGTAAGTATCATCTGTATTGTTGCTAGACGTATAGTTATATGTAGTTGAGTTAGACATTTTGACACGCTCTTGACTCTTCTTCAACGCATCTCCAGGCACTGTCTGTGTTGTTACTGTCATGGTCACGTTGACTGCTGATCTATTTAACTAATGATTCTTATTAAACTCCACAACCGCAAAACATGAGTGAGTTAGCAACCCCTGAGAAGACGTGTTTTTTCCCCATAGACGCTACACTTGTGTTTCCCTCCCAGAGTCCCGCCTTTGTGAAGACAGTTATCAATGCGTTGTTATTCCACTTTCTCCTGGGAAGCTCAATCTTGAATTAGTCTGTGTATATCAACTCAAGTAATTCGCCAGACCTTTGTCAACTGAGGGTCATCTTTGAATGAGTAACCTGTTAGTTTGTTTGTGATTACTGTCATTGCGTGAGTAGCGATCACTGGCAACTCAGGGATATTTATACCCGTGCATTTCCAGGGAGAGCGCTCCCTGACGCTGCTCCAATGTTTCTCCAGGTATGTTTATGTGTAGTGTCGCGATCCCACTACCCTTTATACTTGGGGAGTGAATCCTACCCCAAGTTATTAACAAATAAAGGAACAAATAGGGAACACGGCAATAATTATCCTCACCAAAAACCTACTCAACTAAATGTACTTGAAAAAGTAAGAACAGTTGAAATAAGTGAATCACAAAAGGGAAGATAATTAATTAATTCAATTTATGTTCTAAAGGGAGTAATGACTAGTAAACATGAATTTCAGGGAATAAGTAAGTGTATAATAATATAAGAGTGATGCCGGAAGGGCGAAAATATGATGTAAGGAGTTAGACCAAACAAATATTACTTAACATTAGTATATTACACAAGACATACGAAATATATATATACAACAATCACTACAAAATGATTATCCCTACCAAACAGGAGATACCTTACCACCAGGATCCCTTCCTAGGCCTAACTAAACGTGTCACTAATACCTGATACCCCTAGGGCATTGCAGAAGACTGGATAAAGCACTAGACAAGGGTCAAGGCTAGAGAACGAATGGACACGTCTAACCTATGCCACGGTTTTTCGCTACTGCGGAAGCGTGGGCACGCTGAGCAGCGCGTCTCATATCACGTGATCTAGAACATTTGCTAGATATTTTATATAATTAATTAATATTACTCTTGAGTTGACTTAACAGAGTAAGACAATGATGCATATAAATAACATACATAAATATACAATTAACCTAAGTAACTAAGAACAATAATAATATAATAAGTACAATTAACAATTTATTAATAGCTTGTATGAAATGTAGGCGTGAACATATGCCTCATGGTATGCGAGTTCCCGAGCGCCACAGGCACGTGACAGTAGCCATTCAGTTAATTCAGTCAATTGTAGTGAATACCAGTGTTCATCAGTGTTCATGATTTAACAGTTGAATTGTCATTCACCCAGTGTAAGAAGTAATATAACGTAAATACGTCTGTCGGCTAGACAAGAGAGTTGTTTGTGTTGTCATGCTTCCCAGACCGCTCCCTGACGCTGCTCCAATGTTTCTCCAGATCCCATTGTGATTCTTGCATCGTTCAACAACGGCCCCGGATGTAGTAGAAACCCAGCAGGGACCATATATGAAACGATGGCACGGATGCGGCCTGATTAATGTGCTTCACTGCTTCGTTGGGCCAGACCCCAGACTCGCCATGTGTCTGGCTACCACACAATAACAATGGTCGTGAGCCCCAGTTTTCTACCCTGGGTTACTCCTTGGAAGTATATGTCCACAGAGAGGGTTGTAACATGTATGTTAGGGATAATTAGTTGGAAATAATTATCCCAGGTTGGGTAGTGGACCCCTGTATATGCTAGTGTCATTATTAACGTGTATGTTGAGTAAAGTAATCTACAATGAGTGTCATGTACTATGTATTGTGAGTAGGGCCAAGGAACTGGTCCTATTATGCCAGGTAATGTAACACCAGTAATGTTGTGTGCAGTAAGAATGTAAGATCTGAGTAATTACTGTTGAGTAAAGAAATAAGAAAATAAGTAAAGAAGAAAGTACTGAGTCTGCAATAAGCCCAGGAGTTGAGCCTGGTAGTTATATGATTAATACAATATCTTTTCCCCTTTGATTTCATATTAATAAATTTGTTTTTAGAGTACTTTAGGTGTATTCATTTCTCCCACAGTATTTTACCTTTATTTCCGTCCAAGTGACTTGATACCAG